GGGCTCGCTTAAAGTTGCACATCAAACACATTTTTATTCAGTTTAGATATTTTAGGAAGATGCTGGAGAGGGATGAGAGCTGATGGAGGTTATTAGAGAGGGTAAAAGCCCCCACTCCTCTTCTTTACCACTCTTTAGGGGCACAAGTGCTTACTAGACTGGGAGGAGTAAAGACAATAGAGCTCCTACCTGACCTTTCACTTCTATGTTACAGTCCCAGGTCACAATTAGAGTGAGGTCTAGGATTTCTTCTGCACAGAGCTCTGAGATTAAGTTTGTCTTGAATTCTCCTTTTCTTTCTCTTCTCTGCCTCTCCTCTACCTATCCTACCCAATCCTTCATCTAGTTCTTGCTAATTTCTATTTCTCAGTACAGCTTGACACAGATTTATGGAGGATATTCTATAAGCTCAGCATTCTACTAGGCAATAGGAGAATATGATAATGAACTAATAAATGTACAAATTGGGAACTGGCATATGTTCAGGCTGGGAAGTCTTCCAGCCTCGTTTACATTTTTATTTGTGACTACTACAGACCAAAAACTTTAAGACAGAGGGAGAAAGCTATTATAACCCAACAACTGGAGGTGTTATTGAATCAGTAGAGCATGTTGGGTGTTGGAGAGTGCCATGTATGCAGAGGACCCCATCTTGTAACTTTTAAAGTCCTGCACCAGCTAGGTATCACACAATCTAAATAAAAAGAGTAAAATTTCCAAGATTCTTCAAACATGTTAAGATTCTATGACTCTATGATTCTCATTTGTAGCTGAGTCCAATCTTGGAGGAGCCATTGCATTAGGTACATTCTCAAGATTCCTTCCAATTCCTGGATGATTCTATCCTGCTGTTGTCCTTTATGTACAGAGATGATTTTGCCTATCATTCTTAAACATTCTATACTTGATATTTACTCTATGCTGGGTACAGAAGATGATGGGCTGGCATCACCAGGAGTTGATGATTCCCTGGTGTATTGGTTTCCTAGGGCTACTGTAACAAATTACCACAAACTGTATGGTTAAAAACAACAGAAATGTATTGTTTTACAGTTCTGGAGGGTAGAAGTACAAAACCAAGGTGCTGGCAGGGGTCTAGGGGAAGATCTTTCCTTGCCTCTTCCAGTTTCTGGTAGTCTCAGGCATTCCTTGGCTTGTGACAGCATAACTCCAGTCTCTGCCTCCATCTTTACATGGTCCTGTGTCTCTGTGTCTCCTCTCTTCCAGCAAAAATACCAGTCATATTGAATAAAGGCTTCACCTCATTTCAGTATGACTTTATCTTAATTACATTGGTAAAGACTCTAATTCCAAATAAGGTCACATTCACAGGTACCATGAGTTAGAATTTCAATATATCTTTTTGGAAAACACGATTCCATCCACAACATCTGGTGACCAACAATGTGTGTCTATATTTAGGAATAAAGCTTTGATAGGCAGCCATGAAACAGACCACAACAAAATGGTCCATAGGGGAAGAAATCATAATCTGACTAAACTGAAGTGTTTATCAATCGTGCTAACCAGTCATAAATATATTCACCCTACCACATTGTCTATAATCTTTCCCTTCCATTCCCTCCCCTCCCCTTCCCTTCCCTTTTACTTTCTTTTATCATGGAATAACATAGTTAAATATTTGGTGCTGGGAAATTTATGAGATGATCTGGATCAGAAAAAGATACTTTCCTGTAAGTAAGGTAAATATTGAAGTATTCATTAGTTTATTACACACCCGAAACCTAAGAAAGAGCTTACCAAGGCTTTTGTAACTGAGGATCTATTGCAAGTATCCAGATTTATATTTAGCTTTGAATTATACATACACACCCACATACACACATATTTTTAAGTAATTTAGCTTAGAGCATTATATGGGTGGTATTGTCTCTATTGCCATTATCTTGTGAGATAACTGGTGACATATTTCCCTAGCACAAGGAAACCAGTTAAAGTAATTGGAATTCTGTAAATTTGAATCAATGATGTTGCTCACTAATCTCAATCAATCAAAGCAAAGAAACTTAATTCACGTTTTTCTTACAGCCAGAAGAAGAAACTCTGGCAAAAGAGCTGTCCCATGATTTTCCCTTCCCTCATAAATCATCTCCAGGTCTGCAATTCTCAGCTTTCACAGGAAAGAAAGGAGAGAAGACTATGCATTTGTTCAGGCTCATCGTGAGTTATAACACAGTCCAAAGAGTAAATGAACAAAAAATTATTTAAATAATTATCAGGAGAAAATTTCTCAAGAGGGGAAAGCTAATACATTATAAAACTGTGCTGGGGTGAGGATAAGGATGGGAGATACTGATAGGATTAAGTTGTTACAACAAACTCATGTTTTGTTTTAACCTCACTGTTTTGAATTTGGACTGATCATTGAAATTCTCTTTCCATGGGTCTACATGGCACGTTCGCATCTGTTCTTATCAATGTCACGTTTCAAAAAAAAACTTTTAAAAACAAATGGAAGTGACAAAGAATTTCTTGGAGACAGCAGGAGTGTCTAGTTGCACTTTCTAATTGAAAGGTCAGTAAAACATTCTCAATAGCACAGAAACTAAAAGGGAAATGTGAAATCTAATGGTGTTTGGTCAATGGAGCAAGGGATTTGTAATGGTGAAAGAAAATACAGATAAGTTATTTGGACTGTGCTTTCTTATATATCTCTTATCATAATTCAAGTTTAGAAACTATCTCAATTGTGATTTTGTTGGCTTAGTTTTGACCTGAACAAAAAGGATTTGCTGCTTTTGTTTCTTCTTTTTATTCAAATGGGACACACCCTCCTGGTTTTGAGAAATTTGATTGTTATATCTTAGTTAGAACCAAGCTGGATAAAGTACTCTTTCCAATTTTGGATGTTTAATTATGCTGGATTCTTACCAAAGACCTCAAGGGAGCCTTAACTTGAAAGACAAAGATGATTGTCAAGTGAGCTATAGATTAGGGTCTGATTCGTTGGTGGAAGTTCAATAAAATAGTTTAGGCAAAGGTAGATTTAATAAAGCAGACGAAAAAAAAATAAAATATGTTTCTGAGAAATAAGCAAGGCAAAGCAAACACACAGAAACTCATTAAAGAAGCAGCCAATGAGCAATTCATAACCAATATCTGATATATAATTTAAGACCCAAAGGTCACTTAATATCAATTCTATCGCAACACATATGTGCTGAAATGTTCTTGAGTTTGCCTTGACTGTTTTTATTTCATGGATGTGTTTTTCCGGAGGCGCGCGCGCGCGCGCACACACACACACACACACACACACACACACACACACACACAATGGAAGAGTAAAATAGGATTTATCGGAAGGATTTACTTGGATTAATTAGGTAATAAAAGCATTTTCAAATTGCTAATTTACTAAGCAATGTCACTGGAATGCTGAATTACCTTACTTTTATTATGATGATTGAAAGAGATAAATGCAGGCCCAGTCACAAAACCGGTGAGAAGAGAGGCAGCAGTCATTCTTTGCATAATTACTGGTATTTGTCATCCTTGCCTTGAAAAGGGGATCATCAGTTTTTCTAAAGATTGTTTTCTTTGCTCCAGAGCTTCTTCAGAACGCTGTTTATCATCCACGTTGTCCTCATTTACCCAGCGACAATACACTACAAATATACTTTTCATTAGCCTATTTAATGAATTTAATTTTGGTTCAAAATGTTAATTAAAAAGTATACATTTCATTCTTATAAAGATTAAACTTAAAAAACTTAGTTCTCATGAGTTAGGTTAAATTATTGAAAGCATAGCTGAAAAACAGAGTTAATCATTGTGAAATTTATTATCACGAGCCTGGGGTTAATTGTGATCATCAATTATGATTAATTTTCCTATCCCTTTAAGAAAACAAAGGCTCAATAGCTTTATTTATATTTAAGGAGAAAGTTTTGAAGAAAACAAATGTAAAAGGAAACAGGAAGGAAGTTTGCCTCAAAGAGAAAAACACTGCGGAAAAAGCTGCTACATCAGTTATTCTAGCACTAGAAAGTAAATGAACATTTTATTATTTCTTGGCTTTTAAAAAGTATTCTTTGCCAAATATAAAAATTTTGCAAACCTGAAAGAAACAGGATCCATTTTCTACATAACCACATTTAATAATTTCCATGAAATTTACATTTTAGACCTATGGCCAAAATCCAAATTAAAACTTATAGGTTCCTAGTCCTAAATTCTGAGCCTGTTTTCTTAAGAAAAGCCTAAAAGACACTTTAAAACAACCTCAATTAATATAATTACAGAAATTTTAAATAACACATGCACACTAAATGTTTCTGTAAAACACAGCTGTTCTGTTATTTATATTTCGCTTTTAAAATTAGAAATGTGGCCATATATAAAGTAACTTTTTAAAAGAGTGAATCTGTTGTTTTCTGCATCATTACATTTTTAAAAACCCCTTACAGCCAATTAGCTTGGAAATCTTATATTCATGTCTCTGAATATTGCTGCAGTTGTAGCAAAGAAAGCAGCACATCCAGGTATTTAATGTAACAGAAACAAGGCACAGGCAGCAACTTGTATCCTCTGGCAGTTGACATGCTAATTTCTTCGCCTCCTCTCTCTGGCTCACTCCACCCCGCTTCACCTACTCCCCTTCCCCCCAAGATACGAGGCACCCTCTGAGCCCTGAAAGTGCCTTGCGG